GAGGAAGCTTGAGAGCATAATAGGAAGATTGTGTAAACATAGATGCAAGAGCCTGCTTTGAACCCCGCTTGACACCGCGTCAACAAGGAGATGGGAAGATTAGTGGTAGAGAGGGTTGAAGACCCGAAAAGACGTCGAATAAGTTTCCACTTATTAGAAAAAGAGGAGCCAGATACAACACAGATAGAGAAAGGAGTTTCGTTGTTCATGTCCTAAGCGTTCTGAAGAATAGAAACCTGACTAGCAGATATCAGGCCAAAAGAAGAGGAAAAAATCATCAGATCATGCCTAGTAGTAGAACCCACCTGAGTAGTCAAACTACATCCTCTCGTCTTCGAGGTCCTTAGTCTTTCCCTCTTACCCAGTCGGGAAGGCCTACGAGATCGTCTGATCCTAGCGGCAACATTTAGAGACGGGGAAAATGAGTTGATGAAAACCTTTTCCAACCCTAGTAGATCGGGGCTGGCAGGGGCGCGTTAGCGCTGAGTGGCGGGCGGGTAGCGAGGTGATGGTGGTGTGTGGGCAGCGCTATGCTGAACGCTAGTGGGGGCGGTGCTGCCTGGTTGAGGGAGGCGGGGCGCTGACACCTCATGGGTGCAGGGCGCTGGCTTTCGGCGAGCAGCGAGGCGCTGGCTGCAATGGAGCAGCGAGGCGCTGGCTGCAATGGAGCAACGAGGCGCTGGCTGCAATGGAGCAACGAGGCGCTGGCTGCTAGTGGGAAGCGAAGCGCTGGCAGCATGTGAGTGGCGGGGCGTTGGCCACTTACAGTTGGCGAGGCGCTGGCTCAACAAGTGAATAGCAATACTGTCTGACACGTGGCATACCGCAAGTTGTCGGCGCGAGGGAGACACTGGGGCGCAGGCTCTGTGTTGAGGTGGAGTGGAGAGATGACAACGCTTTACATACGCGCAGAATCCGGAGGCGCTTGGCCAATGCCACGTCACAGGCTGACGTGGCATCTAGCCTGAGGCACAGAGAAAAAGGAGAAAAGTGGCAGTGGATGCTATTTGAACATTTTCCTGGTGTCTTCTCCATAGTTGATGCCCTTAAGAGGCTGGAGAGCTCTTGCGAGTTGGCGAATGTCGACGTCGGTGGAGATCGCTTTCCCTATTTAAAGCTTCAACACAGAGTGGGAGGATATCATCAAATTTATTTGTGTTTTTTTGTTCTTGTTTGTATTTCGTGCAGGCTTTTCATCAAGAGCACCAAGAGTTTCAAGATCGCCAGTTGTGAAGCACCATTACGTCATCTTCATGTGAACATCACCTGTTTTCATCATCATTAGCAGCAATATAGCTGCCACATTCATCTTCTACGACACAGATTCACGTTCATCTGCTGCGACACTTGTTCATTAATTTATTAATCAATGCCACGTCATCACCATTATTGACTTCGTCAATATAAACCCCAATATTAATTATTCTTACTAATTATCTTCAGCGTAGGACGCCATCTTTCACAGCGCAAAGTTGTGTCTGCTCTAAATCCAATTTATCATTACGTCATTGAATTTCATGCCCCTTTTCGAAATACAATTCCCCAGATAGTTCCCTTACTAAATTTTTTGTAGAGTCATTCTGGCATCATCACGATCATCATCACCATCACCTGTCTATAAATCATTATTTAGTATTATTTATCACTATCATCTAACTAGTTGATTTCTCCTCACAGGCTTTAGAGTCAGATCTGGCGAGAAGGTAAGTGAATTAAAGGTGGGGCGAGCTCTACTCTACAAAGGAAGCGCAAGGAGGGAGGTGCTAACCTTCGAGGGAGTACAGGCGGACAAGGGAGAGTGTTCTAGTTTGGGGCTGGGGAAGATCCCAGTGGTGGCAGATTAGGGCACAACTAGCTTGAGATAATCCGTGGGGGGAACTGATTACTCAAGGGAGTAAAGGAGGAGGAGATGACTTTCTCTAGCTGGGGCTGAAGGAATTTAACTGGTTGCAGATCGATTCCGCTCAGTGGGGGCAACACAGAGAGAGGAGGAGAGGAAGAGGGGGAAAGAGGCAGGGGAGGAGAGGGGAAGTTGAATCTACATCGAGGGTCATCATCATCAATATCATCATCAAAAGCAGCAACATCTACGTCGTTAGGTTTTTCAGAAAATCCCTTTGATTGCGTTTCATTAGAATATGAGAGAAGGTAAGTGAGAACGGTGGGGAAAACTGAAACTCTATAAGGGCATCGCAAGGTGGGAAGTGATGCTCCGTTAGGAGTGGAAGTAGATGGGGTATTGCGCTAATCTGGGGCTGATAATTCAGCGGGGGCAGATTAGGCCAACAGCTTGATTGGGTCATACTTTGGGGGGAATGGTAGGACCTAATAGTGAGTATGGTTGTAAGTGGGACTGTCCCAGGTTTGGGCTGAAAAAAGACTACTCACCAGGGAGGTTCATTTCAGCGGAGGCAATAAGGGGCAAGAAGGAACAGTGGGGGGAAGAGGAATAAAATCCATATCTACTGACTTCAATCATTATCATCACCACCCTCATCAGATACGTTATCTGCTCGGGACTCAACTAAATCAAATCCTTTATTTTTAGGTATTATAATTTGTTATCAATTTTGCTAATTGTCTGATTGAGTTGTGAATGTGCACTTGCCTAGGTCGAGTTGATGCCAGAACGACGCTGACCAGTGTTGGGGCATCGCCCTGTAACCTAAACTACTAGGAGCTTGAGGTCTTGTAGAGAGATCTGGGGATTGATGAGGGAGGAAGGCAGTCCACTAATTTGACCGACGTTAACAATCCTGCCGACGATGGTCGGAGATGGGGCGGGTAGCGCTGCCCTGTAACTTAGCTAAATAGAGGGTGTGAGATTGGGTAGAGGTGGGATTGATACACAACACAACATCAGATGACAATTGCCGGAATTGGTAGAAATACCTGGAATTAGGATAGGGTTCCATGTTGTAGTTCTGAGTAGAGAACATTCTGATTAGCCTTCCTGTTACATGTTGCGCCTGCAACAGGCTGCACGGGCCATTTTCAGGCCCGTGTCGTTTTCAGCCCAAAAGCCTGAAAACAAGGGCCTACAGGCCCTGTGTCGTTTCAGCCTGAAAGCCTGAAAACAAGGGCCTACAGACCCTGTGTCGTTTCAGCCTAAATCAGGGCCTTTCCGACCCTGAGTCTTTTCAGCCTGAAACTGAGGGCCATTTTCAGGCCCTCATAAGATCGACATGCCTTGAAACTCAGGCACCAGACCAGGGTTTTAGCTCAGGCCATTTTTGGCCTATTTTCAAGACAACCTTTGTTTGAGCTTCAACCCCAGGGTCTGGCACGTTTTGGCATTGGCAAGAGCAGCTTCCTGGACGGGCCAGCACGATATAAGACTGGCCCGCCCTACAGGCTGCAGGTAGTTCCTAGGTGCTTCTCAGGCACTTCATGTGCAGTTCAGGAGGCAGGAGGTAGTCTTCAGGATTCGGCAGCAGCACTCTGGAGGAGTGCTGCAGTTGTAGTGGTAGCGCTAGCAGTAGTCTTCGCGCTGGGCGCTAGTAGCATTAGGAGTAGTCTTCAGCGCTGGGCGCCATAGGAGCTAGAGCAGTACTAGAGAGAGAGAGAGGTTGGGCGGAGGCCATGGAGACTTACCTGCAGCACCGTTGCTCCAGCTTCGTCTTCGAGGTACCTGCAGCACAGCGCCATCTTCACAGGTTAGTACCTGGCACGTGAAAGAGAGAGAGAGAGAGAGTTCTTCTTCTTCCTCTTCTCAGTCCACCATCTCCCTCTCACCCTCTTGCTACCTGACTTCACTGCATCAGCAGCCTACGAGAGAGAGAGAGAGAGAGAGAGAGAG